CGGAGGAGGTTTCGGGGGAGGTCCGGACCCCCCGGACCCCCCCCCCCTTGGCTACGGCCTTGCGTGAACACATGAACGTGACACGTGTTGACGAATATCCGTGGACGTGGCACGTGTACACGAATATCCGTATATGTATGTGGCATATGTAAACGTGTAGCCGTGTATACCTCAATAAGGAAATATTTAGAGAATCTGGATAAAATGTCACATATGTCACATACACGACTGTACGTGTACGCGTGTCACGTACACAGGTATACGTGAATGAAGATATCTTAAATCCGTGTGCACGGATTATGTGTATGTACACGCGAATCCTTAAAATACGTACCCAATCGAAAACTCTAATACTTTGGTACAAAAATGCTGTCAAACGAGAATTGCGTAGATTTAAAACTACAACTTGAAATGCTTCTGCCTCGACCCATTAATCTTGCCGCTCCTATAAAAATTTAAATGTTTTAAAAGGAAACATGAAATAAAACCTCGCAAAATTACTTCAGGTGGCGGTCTTTACGCTCGCGCTGGACTCGGCCGTGGTGGACCAGAGGCAGCAGCTGGCCTCGGTGGAAAACTGGATGGCACTGGGCGGTCAGTGAACCCGGTTGCAGGTGGCTTGTACGCCGGGGCAACACCGGGCGGCGGTCCAGGACCGGGCGTGTTTCTTGGCGGTGGACTCGATGGAAGCGGACTAGATGGCATCATAAGTGGCAGCACGGCTAATGAAGATAGTTTGAAGCCGCCTGCGGCTGCTGCGGGGGCGACTACCACGTCGACGAGCGCGAATGCTACGAGCGAAACGAAGCCGCCGAAGGGCCGCACGAATATACAAATCATACGTTCAAGGGCGCAGAAGGAGAAAGAGGTTTCAATTGCGATTTCGTAGCTTATACTGATATTCTGTAAGCAATATGGGATACAGCATTTTGATTTTCTAGGTCTCAAATACGATACGTAAACGAGAAATTGAGACACGCGAAGAAGATCATTGACAGTCTTCTAACGCATCTTCCGTAGAGTAGTCGTAGCTTAGTAGTTCGTTCCGATAAGTTATATAAATTAATTTAAGTTCATAGTGGATTCTTGGGATACTTTATAACCCGCCAATCACCTTTGCAAATATGCCCGTGGGATACCGTCTTTAAAATAAATCTATCGAACGCAGAAGGTGGCTGCAGCTGGCGCGACATTACGAGCCGACGCACCCGCAGCTGTAAAGGCAGAGTCGCACAACAAGGAGGTGAGAAGCAGATTGTATGTCGAGCTGACATTTTCGTCGTCGAATATTTGAAAGAGGCAGAAACTATATTAGAGAAATCTTTTTTTGCGACAGACACGTCGCGCAGTGCAAGTCGTACCACCCGCGGCGGAAGTGGGCCTGGTCAAATCGGTTTACGTTGGGACAGCGCCAGCCGTAAAAGAAGTTGTGGTCCCGACATCCGCAGCCGCCGCACCCGCGCAAGGTGCTGGCCAAGCAACCGCCACCGCCGACACGGTTACAACAGTTGGTGAGCAATCATTACTACGCCTCTCTGCACTTGCACGAATGGCATTCCGTGAGCAATCCTTTCTCTTCCAGCCGGTAATCCGAATGTAGTCGTTCCGAAACCCGTGTATCCACGTTGGTACTTTAGAAAGAGGTTCCGGACCGTCCCCAGAAAGACAGTTTACGTTGCTCCAACAGAATCGGCTGATAGTCAAGGCTCTCCTTCGGATGTAGTTGGCGGACTCCTTTACAAGGCAGTGGGAGACGGCGGCGCGGTTGCCGCGGGTAAACCTGACGTCAGCGGGTCCTTGTTCGACGATATTTTTAACGTAAGTCAATGCTCGACTTCTGTACAGCCACTTACATCTCGCGAGCGTTGCGACTTGCGTGAGAAATATACGTAGCTTCTAATGAAACGATTTCAATCTCATCTTCAGATCCCCATTTCTACGTTGTCTGCTGTTAACCAACTGCTGAGAAACAACGTCGGCTAAGATGCCACCGTACGTTTACTACTTCTAAGCTCACATTTTAAATAATACGTGTAACGGACAATTATATAATAATACACCTAAGAAGATAGAAGATTAGCAAATTCTTCGAATATATTCAGCAAACTCATTTGTTGCGTATTCAGCCCCTCACGGCAAAAGATGTTTGTTCTGCCTACTTATGAATGCTATACACACATTATGTCCATCTTGTGGTTCTCTCTACGTGATTAGATTATACAAACTGACGGTTCCGTATATATTATGGTATACCTTTGTCTGCGATTTATTTGCAAGAAAGATACATATACTAATAAAGTTTTATATGGAAAAATTTATTAATTATTTCTGCACTTTATTTTACTTTATAATTGTATAGCTTATACGTTACTTATTCGGACACTCTTCAAAGTACATATTATTTAATGTACAAATTGTACGCGAAAACATTACGATTCACGCTCCAAGAGTATTTCAACGCGCCGAGAACGGAAAGAATATTTCTGATTATCGTTTAACGTTCATATACGGCCAGTAATATGATCGTCATAAATGCTGACTATTAGTCACGAGCGGGTTATTTTATTTAAATGAGACAATTAAAAAACGAAATTAAAATTGCAATCATTTCAGAAAGCATAAACAAAAGAAGGCAGTATAATAATATGGTTCTAACTAGCGTCCATTCTTCCTCTTTTAATAAAGGCCAGTGTGTATATCGCGCTTCAGAAAGTTAGGTGTTCACGTGGATCTCTAAAAAATCTTTCGTTTTCGTATTTTTCTTGATCCGCTTGTTTCCGATCGACTTGTCGGACGCGCAAACACATCGTGATTACGATGAAAACGCGCATGATTTTGTTGATAATTTTAATAAGCGATACTTTAGCGCGCCCAAGATCCGAAAAGGAGTCGGTAAGCGTATTTAACACTCAGCGTTTTGTACTTATACTTTGACACATCCATTGATTTCTATATTTTTAAAATAATTATTTAGACCGTTGCGGAACAATCTTCGAAAATTGCAATATCAGATCAAATCGTTGAGACTGCAACGGGAGTTGGCGGCATTAAAGGGATATCAGTTATAATACCAGTTTCATCTTTTCCCATAATAATAATAAGAGCACCGAGAAATTTTACAACGGATGACGGACAAATAATAAGACTTGAAAATGGATCAACAATAATTGCGTCGACGTACAATAAAACAGATGTTCCGGGTGTTTTGCAAATGGACAAAAATGAAACAGCACAAGGTACAAAAGAGTCAAAATTTACGCAGCCACAAACGCAAAATCTAAACAATAAAACGACTGACGAATACAAATCCGAATCTCAAAATATGACGGGACAGATTGACACGAAACAAAAAGGGAAAGATATTACAAATGCTTCAACTAAATGCAGAATATCAAATGCAATTAGATGTGAAGAAAAAAATATTACATTAAACGATCATAAAAAACAGCATAAAGAAAATAGTCCTAAAGGAGTAACTAACGATAAAAGAATCAGTAGCAAAGAACCACAAGACAAAGAAAAATCACGTACTACAAAAATAGACAAGAATGCATCGGAAAAATACAAAAATGTAACTAATAAAGAAAATAATAAGAAAATAATAGACAATAAAGAAGATAAGCAATCCAGTAGTAAAGAAATAAATGATATAAATAGTAGTGACGAATTATTAAAACATGGAGAAATAAATGACAAAAACGAAAAAGAACTCAACACTGCAGAGAAAATTACTGGAAAGGAAAGCGAAGAAAAACCGTATAATAAAATGAAAAGCAAAGTTAAAGAAGAAAAGGAGAAAAATGATGATAAAGTAAAAGATTCAAAGGAAATCGGAGATAAGATAAAAGATAACAGACAAAAGACAAAAGAAGACAAAGAAGGGTCAGACAGTAAACCAAGAAATGATAAAGACAGAAGTAAATTAGTGAGCGAAGAAGGAAGTGTAGATGATCGCAAAAATACTGATGTTAATGGAAGAAACGAAGTGAACGAAACAAATAAAGCAAATAAGAAAGCAGAAGGTAATAAGAAAGATAATGTATTGCAATTAGACGATAATAATAAAAAATTAAACAAAAAGGCAGATTCTATAACTGAAGCTAAAGAACAAAACGAGACAGGCGAGAGCAAATCTGGTAATAAAGGAACAAACAGCGAAACAGTAAATATAAAACAATCTATAGGTGAGAAAGAAAAGAATCAAAAAGGAAATAAAGAACATCTCGTCGGCAAAGACGAACGAGATAAGAATGTAGAAACTTCACAAGAAAAAAGTAACTCCGTAAAAACTGTTACTAATAAAAATCAATATGAAGAATTAGAAAAGATGATTAATAATAGAACAGTACTGGATAAGTCTGTAGAACCAGGACACGATAGCAAAAAGCCATTAAGGAACGAAGAAGATAATATGGAAGATATGAAAAAGAAAAACATTACAAGAGACTCATCATTAACCGATCAAGAACCAACGAAGATAAATAACACGAAAAATGAAAGCATTGATAAAGACTCAGGTAATATAAAAATTGACATAAATGGTGACAGGAAGAATGTAATGTATTTTAATAAAAAAATGTCGAGCAAACTACTTCTCGTGACCCAATTGTTGCTCAAAACGTGGCGGGTAAATATTTCCTTAGCTTAATAATTGAGATTGTTTATTAAATAGCATTTTTAATATTATAATGTGTTATTCTTCCTTTTCTTACAGTGGCCACACGTAGTCTTGCGATGGATAATGTGTAAGTTTTTTGGGTTCAGCATCAATTACGTTACATATAAATCTAAAATATTCAGTCGATGTATATAGGAAGTTCTTTATACTTAAAAATATTTATTATATGATAGTTCATAATGTTCTGATTTTAAACTAATCTAAAATTGAATGCTTTCTTATTTTTATTATAACTTCTCGAATAAGAGAAACGAGGTTTATGGCTGTAACAAGATTGACACATGTTTATTCTTATGTTTATGTAATACGTGAAATCGATTAAATTATTTATGTGTAATTGTTTAGATACAAAAATATACCTATAAAATATACATATTTATATCATAGAAAAATAATAAATGTATTTTTACAACTGTGTTTTAAAAGTCATTATCTGCTTCCGCTAAAATGAGTTACCATCAATTAAATTATCTTTATCGTATGGCATTGAATAATTCCCACTATTATTAATTTAAATTAGTTGTGTAATCATTAAGAACAACGTTATTTTTAAGTGGATATCCGAAAAAATGATGGCAGAATTGTGGATTGGCGAAAATAAAACGCACACACGCAAAATCTTATATAAATAAAACATGAATATACAACGTGGATGTTTAAGTGCTTTTTTTATACTGCGCATATACACATGCGTGCACATTTGCACATGTAATAAGCTATGTAATAAGCTTTGGGATTGTTATATTTAATCTATCTTGAAATAGCTATTAGAGAATAGGAGTGTACAATTCAATGGCACTGGCACTAGCCAATTCACATTATCTTGCATGGATGAGTAACCCGAAAAGAACAGTGTTATTACGATAATCGGTACATTGTTATTTATGCTAACGTCAGCAATACCATTCGCGTTATCAGAACGTTGCGAAATAAACCGTGACGTGAGTTGTATTACTTTAAAAACCGTTACCGTACCATTTCTGCCAAAATTAACATAAGTGCATATTGCAATAGCTTCTACAAAATTACGGTAATTTTCCACAAACATGACTCATGTCTTATCTATGTGCGTCACAATTATTACCAAACAATTTAATATTACTCAGCGAATATAAGAAATATCATCTTGATACGCAATTAAAATAAATTACTATTGTATATATCATTGTAATATGTATATGTATACACACAACACATATAAAAGTGGACATTGCATCATTGCTCTACAATCTTGTAGCAATCTCGCAGTAACATTTCACAACCAAGGACGTGGATACTTTCCAGGAAGACATGATTCAAAATGTTACTTTCAAAATTATTATACCTATAGATTCAAAATACACTTTTTGGTATATAAATATCTTCTGTTTATCAAAGAAAGAGCAAACGTTTTTAGTATTTTATGTATAGCATCTCTTCTCTTTATGAAAAGAAGAGCTGATTCCAGGGGACGGGAGGGGCAGTGGCGCTTTTACCCTTCTTCTATGAACATCTCTGTTCACAACATTTATGTAATGTTGCAATCTTGTAATTAAATGCTGCTACAATATTGTTGCAATCTGCTTATTCTATATGGACGAGAAAACACTGACTAAATCATAAAATAATAAATATAAAATTTTATTATGCAATATATTGTGAACGTAACATGAATGTTAAGCTTAAGTACATCCTTCTTATATTGCATATACCTACATAGGTAACATAGGTACGCATACACAAAAGGTACATACATGAAAAGTTAAAATAAAATATTTTTATAGAATATATCTCTACTGGAAAAAATACGTGCATATAAACCGTGCGTAAATAGCTTTGAAACAAATTATATGAATTCTGTTAATTGTATTAATTCTATCATTCTTGTCTTTTACATTTTAGTCACATTATACCTTCAATAAAATACTTTTCAAGAGAATAGAGGTGTTCAACTCATATCAATGATACATGTGACAATTCACATTATTTGCATAGTTGTGTTATCGGGGCATTTGAGGTATTATTATACGTTCAAATAGTGAGCAGAATGGTGAGCAAATTGTTAGTGCCATTCAATGTCGGCGTTAGGCACGTGCAACCGGTCATCATACGCGACCTCGCGGGCCCGCTTAACTTGAAAACTGGCTTTGGTGCTATTATAATATTGCGAAATATGTGACCTTACCTACATCGCTTAAAAAATTCCTGTATAATATACACAGCTTCTCCTAAATTACGAAAATTGTCGAGAACACGACTCATTTCCTATCTATGCCCGTACCATTTATTACAATTCAATATTGTACATCGTACATATAGTATAAGAGAGATGATGTGTAAATATGCAATTTAAATAAATTATACCATTGTACATACATTCATGAATACAAAAATACGAATAGTAAAATG